CTGTTCAGCACAGTATTAATAGATATCCAGAAGATAAGCTGCTTTCCTAAAATTTCTTCAAATTCTGCTTTCAATTGACTGAACAAGTTATTGCTTCCTGAAGATTCCTAAGCTGGTACTCTAATGGCATCCAGAAGTGAGCTCTGATTTTTGTGTATCAGTCAGAAAGTTAGAGAACTTCCTTGCTCCCCACCCTTTTCTCGGAGGAGTTCTTACTGTCACAGCCTTTGGAGTCCGAGCACACAGCTCCTAGAACAGCGGTAGCTCCCGTTTGCTCATCTGTGAAATGAAAACAATAAAAGATATTGTGAGAATTTAAAAAATTTTGTGTGCAGTACTTAAAAGCCTAGTGCTGGATGCAAGGTAAGAACTCAATTTTTAAAAAATGGTGTCCAGGATTATTTTGTCTCACATTAATGTATTCTAAAAATATAATTGAGGATAATTTGTTCTACTACGTAATGCCTCACCCTCTTCCTCCAGGATGAAAATGGAATTAATAGGCCAGTCTGTTCCTATGTGAAACCGCTCCGAGCTGGACGGCTGCTGGACACTCCAAGGCAAGCAGCAAGATTCGTTAATGTCCTTGGTTATGAAAGAGCCCCTGTTATCGGAGGAGGGGGTAAACAGGAGCAGTGGTGTACTCTGCTGGCCTTTCTCTGTAGAAACAAGGTATCATACGTGCGTACAGGAACAAAGTAGCCACTGGGCATAATGAGTACATTGGCAAAGGAATAGCCATAGGAAAAAAATGCACATACTGTTAATTAGAAAAAGTCATACACTCTTTCATTTTTTCAAATAAAATGTGTAGATATCAATATGTAAAGGAAAAGCTTCACGTGTTTATTTGCTTATGCAATTTGTTTAATATGGTATCTATGAGAACAGCTGTGCAATTACTATAGTGCTAGAAAAAAAGTAATAGAGTAAATTAGAGACAGTACCAAGACTAGAACCATGGGCTTATTGTACTATTTGTGTTCAAATTTGCTCAGGTCATAATATTTTTTTTTAGAAAAGGAAATGACAAGATTGTGGTGCATCCAGTTAAGCTGGGATAGACAAGGGGAGCAGCTGGGTACATTTTTGTGTGATTGCTGTATTATTGAGAGTTGAAAACAGTTAAATATTTTTAATAGATTTCTACATTGTAATTTAACTTTATAACTGCAAATATGGAAATGTAAAATTAGTATTTGAATATTAAGAACTGTTACATAGGGGCTTGCATTTACTCTACAATTTAAGCTGCCCACCGTTTGAGTAATTATTTTGAAGAGAAAGCACATCTTAAAGTAAAAGCTTGGAACTAGAGTTGTGTGGCAGGTGAAGCCACCACCTGCAGCGCTGGCATCCTCGTTCAAGTCCTGGCTGTGCTGCTGCCGATTCAGTTCCCTGCTGATTTGCCAGTGAAATCCTGTTTTTGCAAATCACCTCTAAGCTGCCTACAATTAAATATATATTGTACATTATTGGGGCCACAGTGTTAATAACATCTTAATGTCCAGAGATTATGAAATATTTCCTATTGCTTTGTAGTCTTCCTTTCTTATTGTAAAAGTAATCTGCTTTATCAATGAGAAATAGAAGAGTAGAGGTAAATTTTATGTATCGCCTTCCCTGCTAGTAGTCATTCTTGGCATTTTATCCATCTTCCTCATGATCATTTTGCTTATGTGCATTAATTTCTTTGGAATTAATCACATACAGATGTAATAGGTATATCCCTGGTTTGCATTTATTTTCATTTCCTGCTTTGTGAATTTGATTTCTTACCTCATTTGTTCATGTTCTCTGCCTATTCATATATTAAAGTCTTTTTTTTTTTTTTGTCAGTATAGTTTGAGTTCTTTATGAACATTTGAATCTGAATACCTTCTCAAAGCATCCAGAATAGGACTGTCAGATTTATTAACTTTGGAAAATAATTTAATTTTTCTATAATGAATGTATTTGTCATTTTCTATTGTTTTATCTTAAAACTGAAAATGCACTAATAATGCTTCTTGCAGTATTTCTTCAGTGGGCGACTATGAAGGAATAAATCATTTTAGTTTGTTTTGTTATCTAGGGTGACTGTGAAGACCACGCTAACCTTCTGTGCAGCCTTCTCCTTGGATATGGGTTAGAAGCCTTTGTCTGTGTGGGGACTAAGGCAAAAGGAGTGCCCCATGCCTGGGTTATGACCTGTGGAACCGATGGAGCCATTACCTTTTGGGAGAGTTTAACAGGACACAGGTTGGTGAATTAAGTTACAAGATGGAGATGGCTGTGTTTTCTTATGGTTCTTAATGTTTTATCTGCTTATTGGAAAGGCGGATACAGATTGAGGTGGGGGCAGTCCTCTCTCCACTAGTTCATTCCCGAAATGGTCTCAGCAGCCAGAACTGGATCATTCCAAAGCCACGAGCTTCTTCTGGGTCTCTCGTTAGGGTGTGGGGCCCAGTGTTGGGCCACTGTCTGCTGTTTTCCCAGGTGTGGTAGCAGGGAGCTAGGTGAGAAGTAGGGCAGCCAGCACTCAAAGCAGCACTCACATGGGATTGCAGCAGATACAGCTTTACCCGCTGCACACGCCACAGCACGGACCATGGTGTCAGTGTCTCAAAATAGGTTTTTCTTTTTAGATTTACTAATTTTTATTTGAAAGGCAGATCATATTTACAGAAAGAAACTAAGATCTTCCATCTGCTGATTCACTCCCAGAATAATTCTGATACTTACAAGGTGAGAATCGAGCCATCCTGCCAGTCCCCACAAAATTGTATTTAGAGACAAATGTTGTATATGACCTACCCTGCTAATAGCCGTTCTTGGCATTTTACTCTTCATCTGATCATTTCTCATGTGTCTATTTCTTGGGTATTATCTTGTGTAGGTGTTCTTCAAGAGCATTTGAATGGTAATTTTAGCTATAGCCTTTAAAAAAATTTGTTTAGATTATTTGAAAGGTTGTAGCTGATGCGGTGACTCAATTGGTTAATCCTCCTCCTGCAAGCACCAGAATTGCATATGGAGACTGGTTCTAATCCCAGCTGCTCCACTTCCCATTCAGCTCCCTGCCTGTGGCCTGAGAAAGCAGCCAGGGGACGGCCCAAAGCCTTATGACCCTGCGCCCATGTGGGAGACCCAGAAAAGACTGCTGGCTCCTGATCAGCTCAGCTCCAACCATTGTAGCAGCCACTTGGAAGTGAACCAGCAGGAAGATCTTTCTCCTTCCCCTGTAAATCTGCCTTTCCAATAAAAATATATCAATCTAAAAAAAAATTTTTTTTTAAAGAGTGACAGGGAGGGAGCAAGAGAGATGTTGAGATTTTTGTATCTGCTGTTTAACTCTCAAGAGGCTGGGGCTGGGCCAGACCAGAGTTGGGGTCTAGGAACTCCATCTCATCTCCTACATGGATGGCAGGGTCCCAGGCACTTGGATGATCTGACACTGCTTTCCAGGACGCATCAGTAGGAAGCTGATTGGGATGCAGAACAGTCAGACTGAATCCACACTTTTATGAGATGCCAGTGTTACAGGTAGTGGGTTAATTTGTTATGCCACAGTACTAGCCCTAACTGAAACAATTTTGTGTTTTTAAATATTTATTCATTTTTATTGGTAAGGCAAATCAGATTTATGGAGAGAAGAAAAGACAAAGATCCTCCATCTGCTGGTTCAATCCCTATTGGCCACAAGGCTGGAGGCAAGTCGATCTGAAGCCTGGAGCCGGTTATATAGGTTCAAGTTTTAGGTGCCACACTTCCCATCCAGCTCCCTTCTAATGTACCTGGGAAAGCAGCAGAAGGTAGCCAAGCCCTTGTGCTCCTGTCATTCCGTGTGGACAACTTCTGGCTTCACCCTAGCACAGTCCTAATTGTTGCGATGATTAGGGGAGTGACCTAGCAAATGCACATTCGTTCTCTTGCTCGCTCGTGCTCTCTCTCGAATTTCCAATAAAAATTTGCTTATGTTTTTTCTGAGTATTATCCAGAAATCTGAAAGTAAATTCAAGTTGTAATGAATTATTTTATTTTAAAAAGTTGATTTTGTTACAAGCTCCATTATTTTCAGTACTTTAGCCTGTCATTACATTTTGAAAGATTTGACTATGTCTTCTGAAACATTCTAGTTCCTGAGTGTTTCTCATGTCATAGTCTTTGATTTGTGTTATCTCATTCTTTTTCTGCTTTTTTCATCATGTCTTTAAATGTTGGGACCTCTAAAGGCACATTCCTGGTGCTTTTTTTTTTCAATTTGCCTGGATCATTTTTCTACCTGGTGATAATCATTTTGGGTGGTTATAAATAATAATTAGCTAAATTATCTTACTTGCATAATGTGATATAAACTCTTAAATTTAGCAATATGCATAATTAGTTATAGTACATAATTAATATAGAATCATTAAATAGAAAAAGGAAAAACAAATAGTAAGCTCTAATCCTGAGAAGGAGTTGTGGCAATAAATGTCAGAATAATTTATTTGCTTATTAAGATTATACCTTCTTTATTTTTACATCCTTATTTATTTACTTTTAGGTACATCCACAAACCTATCAATCCTGATGAACCTCCACTCGCTGAGCAGCCCAAACCATTGTACCCCTATCGAACAATTGGTTGTGTTTTCAATCATCAGATGTTCCTGGGTAATTGTCAGCCCTCTGATGCAGTAGAAACCTGTGTATTTGATTTGAATGATGAATCCAAGTGGAAGCCCATGAGTGAAGAAGCTATTAAGTCTGTGTGCGCTCCTGGAGCTACAACATCGCTTCCTCCTTTCCCACCCCTGTGTGCATCCACAATTGATGCATCAGCGACAAGTAATGAGATAGAAATGCAGCTGAGGCTCCTCGTGTCAGAACACAGGAAGGTAACCAACACTGAGGGTTGCAGCTTCCTGCCTCTCTTCACTTGCTTATATGTTTTTGCACACATGATAGAGCCGATCGGTAGTCCAGTCCCAAACAAGGAAAAAAGTCCCTCCCCATATGTATTTTTTTTTTCCTTTCCCTGTATGCCCAGAGGCAGTCACATCAAAGGACAGTTTGGGTCCAAGTGGCCACAGTACCCAGGAAAGCTGCTGTGATAGATGGAAAAAGCACCTGCTTAGAGTTGTGGCTGGATGCAGAGTGGGTCTAAAAGCATGTATAGTTTTGAAAATCATGAGAGTTAAGTTCTGAAACATTTCTGAATCCCTAATACTTATTACCTGCTAGAAATTAGGAAAAATGGACTTATTCACATCTCAGAGTCAAATGTATGGATTTGCATTTTCTCTTTGTGAAATGCTTATTTAAAATAATTGCCCCATTAAATTACTGGGTTTACTTTATTCCCGTATGTTGTTCCTTCCATCCCCCCCGATTGGTTTCAGCTTTTCCAAAGGGGGATAGCATTGGGGGAGGACAGGGAGATATTTCATTTTGATCATTCTCCCATTGATTAACAGTAGTTGGGTCTGAACCAGGCTGAAGCCAGGAGCTTGCAGGTTGTTCCAGGTCTCCCACATGGGCCATCATCTGCTACTTTCCCAGGAGCTTTAGCAGGAAGCTGGCTCAGAAGTGGAATAGCCAGGACTCGAACTCTGATATTGGTGCCAGAGTCCCAAATAACAAACAGCTGGCTTTGCTTTTTGGCCCCATGTACAGACATCTTAATGATCGAGTCAGTCACTCACTCACCTTTGCATATGTATTTCTACTTCATTTGTCTTGGTATCATTCAAAAACTTGGATCTCTAAATGAAACCTTAATACGCTGTAAGCCCCTTAACAGCCTAAAGTGTTATCTGCAGCTTTTTGTCTTTTACAGTATAAAAGATAGTGTCTTTTACAAAGTAATGCTCAATAAATGAGTTTAATTTTATGTGCTGTTAATTTGACTTTTTCAATCAAACATTCAATTTTACTACTTAAATAGAAGATGATCTCAACTAACTGCAACTTTTCTTTGTGAGGACTACCCCATATGGTCTGTTTATTTACTTATTTAAAAGAGAGAGAGAGATCTTCCATAGCCTGGCTTGACAAGCTGAAGCCAGGAACCAGCAACTCCATTCAGGGCTCGCCTGTAGGTGGCAGAAACACAAATACATGAAGCCTCATTTGCGTTAGCATGCATCTGAAATGCAGCATTACAGAGTCTCAAACCAGACAGACAGCTTTGAGCATACCAGGTAGCACCTTCAGTCACCGCACTACACCGTCTGCATCCATATGGTATTTTACAGGAGATAATTTCAAAGTATAGGCAATGAAGGTTTCGTGTGTTTTGTTACTATAGAACCTAGTAATCTATAATTCCTTTTACTTTTATTTCTGCACATCACAATTGTAAATAATAGGAAGCCACAAAATTTTGAGAATTCTGCAAAGTATTTCCTTGGCATGTACTAAAATACGATCAACATTTTTTTTTTTTGAAAGTAATGTCTCCCATTTCTTTTTCTCTGGGTCACCATAGGATCTTGGCCTCACTACTGTTTGGGAAGACCAGCTTTCCTATCTTTTATCACCAGCACTGGCGTCTTATGAATTTGAGCGTACAACAAGCATATCTGCAGGCAATGAAGAGTTTCAGGATGCCATAAGGAGAGCTGTGCCTGATGGTCACACGTTTAAAGGGTTCCCCATACATTTTGTGTACAGGAATGCAAGGCGTGCATTTGCCACCTGTCTTCGGTAAAGTATGATTTATGAATTCATAAACATTTTTAACATCAGATTTAGTTTGGGATTGACATCAGAATTACATGAAGGAGCTTTTAAAATGACTTACCTTTATTATGCATATTGATCCATGAGTTCTAAATGTGTGCACATAATCTGAGCTAATTTTCATGGTGATTTTTGCTACACACTCTGTATTGAGGATCTCTGCTCTTGTCCAATATAACTTTTTCGTTTATAGGCCACGAAAAAATAGTCTGTAATTTGAATGGATGTCTAAGATTACTGAGTCATTAACAGTAGAGGGAAAATTTTTACAAATTATTTTAGGGGCCAGCATTGTGGTCAAAGGGGTTAAACTGCTGCTAGCAATGCCATCATGCCCCATGCTGGGCCAGTTCAAATCCAAGATGCTCAGCTTGCCGTCCAGCTCCTGCTATAATGCACCTGGGGACGTGCATGGGCCTCGTCATCCATGTGGGAGACCCAGTGGAGGTTTCACCTCCCAGCTCTGACCTGGTCCGGGCCCAGCCATTGCAGCCATTTGGAGAAATAAACCAGTGGGTGAATGATCTCTTTCTCTGTGTCTCTTTTTCTCTGTTACTCAGACTTTCAAATAAATAAATAAAAAATATTTTTAGGATATTGGAAAAAGAAAGTAAAACCTAGGCCCAGCAAGACGGTTCAGTGGCTAAAATCCTCACTTTGCACATGTCAGGATCCCATATGGTTGCCAGTCCACGGCCCAATTGCTCTACTTGACATGCAGCTCCCTGCTTGTGGCCTGGGAAAGTAGTGAGAAATGGCCCAAAGCCTTGGGACCCTGCACCCACATGGGAGACCCGGCTGGTTTCAGATCAGCTCAGCTCTGGCCGTTATGGCCTTTGAGTGACCCAACGGATGAGAGATCTTCCTTTCTGTCTCTCCTTCTCTCTGAAGATCTGCCTTTCCAACAAAATAAAGAAACCTTTTTTTTTTTTTTTTTTTAAAAGATTTATTTTTATTATTTTTTCATTGGAAAGGCGGATATACAGAGAGGAGAGACAGAGAGGAAGATCTTCCGTCCGATGATTCACTCCCCAAGTGAGCGCAACGGGCCGATACTATGCCGATCCGAAGCCAGGAGCCAGGAGCCTCTTCCGGGTCTCCCACACGGGTGCAGGTTCCCAAAGCTTTGGGCCGTCCTCGACTGCTTTCCCAGGCCACAGGCAGGGAGCTGGAAGGGAAGCGGGGCTGCTGGGATTAGAACCGGCGCCCATATGGGATCCCGGGCGTGCAAGGCGAGGACCTTTAACCACTTGCGCCACCGCGCCGGGCCCAAAAATAAAGAAACCTTAAAGAGTAAAAGATATTTTTTAAAAAGCTGATGATCACATATTAATTGCATTCATTTTCTTGCTTCTGTAGATCTCCTTTCTGTGAAGAAATCATCTGTTGCCGTGGGGACCAGGTGCGCCTGGCAGTTCGTGTCCGAGTGTTTACTTACCCTGAATCTGCATGTGCTGTTTGGATCATGTTTGCTTGTAAATATCGCTCGGTATTATAGGACTAACATTTCTGTAAGGATTGTAACTGTGTTTTATTGGAAGTTTACACATTGAATATTACTAGCTATTTAGAGGTTCCTTATTTTAAAGTCACAGTGTGGCTTGGCTGTCATTTCAATTTTGTATATACTTGACTGACACTACATAGAAGAATCATGAGTGTATTTAAAAGTTGCACATGAAAAACTTGTGTAAATTGGAGTGGAATTTAGTTTTAGAGGTATATTCTATTTTAATAAATGCTGCTTGTTTACAGGTATTCATATGAATATGAAATTACTTAGTTTCATGACAAAGATTTGTCAAAGGGTGTGAACTGTAGAAAAATCAACGCTGTGATTATTTTTCATAGACTCAATGGATTCTTTTATAAAGTTAGCAGACACCGAGCTCATAACACATTTACTTATTACATATATTAAAAATACATTTTGGTGATTATCATTTCTGTGATTCTGGAGGTGTTTGAGACTTTCTAGAAGATTATGGCACAATCTTGAGGCAAGAATGGATACACTCAGAAAAGCATAAAAATAGTAATAATAAACTCCACATGAAAGTACATGAATAATTTACAATTACTAGCTTGATTCACTATAAAAATGATTTGGATGTCATAAAAATAATTGTTTCTGTAATTGCAATCTGTCACTGATTTTCTATGTTTAAAGGATTTATTCCTTTGAATCCTCTTCACGGATTCCATCTTCTGGAAGCATTTTTTTATTGCAGTAAAATCATCACATATGTAACCAATCTGATCCTTGTGAGGCCACTGGAAGTTTATGTGAGTAATTCTGTGCTGATGCTCGTGTTGAAATTGAGCAAGATTTGAAAGTTTATGTGAGCAAAACTAAGCATTAAAGGATCTAGCAATCTTACTTTTATTTTTATTGGAAAGTCAGATACACAGAAAAGACAGAGAGAAAGATCTTCCATCTGCTGATTCACTGCCCAGTGGCCTCAATGGCTAGAGCTGAGCTGATACTAAGCCAGGAGCCAGGAACTTCTTCTGGGTCTCCCACATGGGTGAGTGCAGGGTTGTAAGGCTTTGGGCCGTCTTTTACTGCTTTCCTAGGCAATAGGCAGAGAGCCGGTTGGGAATTGGAGCAACCAGGATTAGAACCAGTGCCCGTATGGGATCCTGGCGTATGCAAGGCAAGGACTGTAGCTGTAGGCTACTGCGCCTGCCCGTATGCAAGGTTCTTAATGCAGTTGCTTCTTCCATTGTTTGGAAAAATGTAGCTAAGCCAGTTTTTTATTTTTTAAGTGAATCCACTGATGCAAGGAAACTGATTTTTTTTTTTAAGTTAAAATATGAAAGTATCTTAAGATTTATTTTACATATAATATTAATTTGTTTTAAAAATATCGCTCATTTTGTTCTACCAAGCTTCACTGAAAATAGTGATCACAGGCCGTTTAAGACTTATATGGCTTTAGAGAATTAACCAGTTTGAAGCTACACATAAAGCTATCAATAGAGAAAATTGCTTAGAACTTTAAACTTTTGAGACAAGCTATGAGATACATACTTAGAGGCAGACTATATTAAAATTAAGGCTGTTTTCTGCCTTTATGTATCAAAGTAGTAACTATATTTTAAATATTCTTCTGGTACAAACTAAAAAATAGATTTGCTTTTATGCACTTTAACAGTCTGGCATTAATATTTTCCCTAAAATTGGTTTATGTCATTATTTCAATGCACTTATCACTAGAATTCAGGTACTCCTACTATCTCTTGTTAAGAATTAAATTCACCTTATATATTTAGCTGTCATGAAGGTTGTTTTTCTATTAAAAATGTAAAATGTTTAAATGTCTCTAATGTGTCTTTTTTGATGATATACTAATTTTTATTTAACAGAAAAGTACCAAGAAACCCAGAACACTTCATTTTCTCCTAACTCAGGCATGTATT